GGAGCCGCGCCGGAGGGAGTTCCCCTTGGAGGAGGAGGGAGCTAGTGGTCGGTGATGCCTCTGCGGGAGTTTTCCTTGATCTGTAGTTCAGGCCGTCCTTTTGAAGAGCATCACATGAGCCTTTTCATGCCTGAGCTGGGTAAACGCCTTGAGGGATGGGAAAGTTTGCAGCTTATGAAACACAGTCCCAGTGACATCTTTGACTCGAACCGGCCGCGCTTGGAATTATGTCAGTGCACTTGTCCGGGGGTTGCCCTTTCGCCCTTCTCTGCTCAGTGAGACTGGCTTTACTCCAGGCTTACCGTGCTATTAGAACTTGCTTTTGCTCTTAGCTGTAACACAAGGTCAGTTTATTTTGTGTTGTCTCGCACTTCTAGGTGTGTGGAAAAGAGCAATCCTGGTTACTTTCAGAGGCTGTGTATTCAAACCTATTTTTCCAGAGAAATTAAGTATTTATCTACCTTACCAATAACTTGTCACTTGTGCTATTAAAATTTCTCTGAGCTGAATCAGGACATAGGAGTTAGAGCAGACGAGAGAATATAGTGCTGTTCTTGAAAGCCATTTCACTGCTGCTGAAGCAGTAGCTTCTCTCAGCTGCCATCCACTCCACAATCTGCAAAACAGTTCCTTTTTAGCATGCGTTTTTCTGTTTTCTGATTATTCTGAGGTCCTGCTATTCTTTGAAGAGTCTGTGAATCTTGCAACTTCCGATTCATCTCTCAATTGAAAATGTCAGCCTTTAAAATTCTATGAAACTTTTATTGCTTAAGCAGCAAATAAATCTTCTGTGGGTTTATTACCCTTGTTCTTTTGTCTGTCATCAAAAGATATGTGGACTGATGCTGAAAAGCAGGTTTGTGGTCTGACTGAAAGTCCTTCTGACTCTTTGCTGCTTTGTAGGCATCTGTAGTTCAGGATTATTAGCCAGACTTCAATTTTCCTTATGATTATGTGGAATTTACTAAAGCAGTTGCATTATTTCATTGACTGATTAGGCTATAAGTCTTAGATTTGTGTGCCCTTCAAAATACTTAGTGTGACCAGGTGTTGTTTAAAATAAAAAATTAACTTTTTATGATTACTTGAATTTTCAGCCTGTTTTCTGAGCTACTTTGTTGTATCTAGCGGAGAGGTTTAGCTGGCAAATACAGAAAACATGCTGGGCTAAACTTCTAAGAAAGTGAAACTTCATCTTCTCAGAGCCAAAAAAAGCAAATGTGACCCAAAACTGCCATTAAGCAAATAAAAAAATCTTTCTGCTAGGAAAATGTAGGCTGTACTGACAGTTCTCTGTCTGCTGAGAAGCACCGTTTTACCTGAAACATGACATCCAGCTATATGCTCTCCAAGTGTGTGCCCTACTCTGTAGGAACATTTCAAATAGATTTTGCCTTGGAAAAGGCCTGTCTTGATTTCTCAGAATGTACTTTTGAGTAATGTCTTTGGGAATCTTTAAAGACATGAAAATATTTGATGTTATTGTGCAACAGCAATGTTCAATAGGTGAAAGCGTGTGGGGAGAAGCAAACTATCAGTATCAATAAACACCTGGTTTTGTTTGCCATAAAATGGCTTCCTGATTTGCCATTGCACCTTTTCTATAGAAAAAAATGGTCTGGAAGCTGACACTTGATAGTAAAATACAGTGATAATTGATGAATGTGTGCTTCACAAGAAAATATGTTTCAGAATGTTTTTGGTGTAAAGATTTTCATTAGTGGTACCCCATGCCATAAGCTGTAAGGTTGATGCTATTCCAGCCCTCAAAATTGTAGCAGAGAAAGCATTTATTTAGAAGTTGAGTAGGAGCTGTTCAGAGTGTTTAATCCAAACTTTGTTTTATGTTTTCCTACTATCTTTTCATGTGTTGATAAATTTGTTTCCTGAACTTCCTTATATTCAGTCAGGAATTCTCACTTTTACATTTGAATTTCTTGCATTTCTGCTGGCTTGTAACTATTTTCTGTTCTTGCAGCTTTTGCATGATGTCCCTGTGAAAGACATCCTATTCTTTCCTTGATGATCTTCATTTTCTTGCTGCTCTAGAATATAAAAACTTGCCCTGCCGAGAACTGTCAGGGAGGATTTGTTACTCGTCTCTGTTGCAGATTCCTCAGCTGACTTGTTTTTGGAAATGTTGTGTTGACCTGTTTAATGACAAGTGTCTCAAAACTTTGGTGGTTCGGTTGCTTCAGGGGTCTTGTTTTCTGGATTCTACCAAAATGAATATTGTTGCTGAAAAGACCTAAATCTCTTTGTTCTGAATTGTGGTAACAGGAAAGCTATGTAGGTCAAACACTTCATTGCTGCAAATTCACTAGTAATATTGGAATTTAGCTGCATTATCATATAATGAGGCCACTTGCTATTTGAATGTTGGGAAGTAATGATTTGGGGTTTACATGTCTTCGCAAAGAAGCTTTTAAGAAAAAGTTGTTTTGGTAGATGTGGGGTACTCTGTGATTGTACAGAACCCAGTGACTTAATTGAAAGGAGAAACAACAGTCCTTTATTCTGGTAAATACAAGATGTAGACAGTCCAAAATCTTGGCATTAGGACAGGCATGATCAGTGATGAAGCTAGAAGGATTGGATGTTTAAGCTTTCCTTCTGTGACTGTGGAATACTTTCTGAGAAAGTGTCTGCTCTAAAGGGATTTGTAAATTATTGGGGGGGGGTATAAATTTATCACTATTTTTAGATGCCAGATTTGGTACAGAAGGCAACTTTAACCCGTTTTGTAATTGAAGTAACTGTTGTAATGACTAAAAGCAGTTAGGAAACTGAGTTGACCAGATTGAAAAAAATAGGTGAAACACTGTTGAGCCCTTTTTTGCATTAATAGCAAACTTGTCAGTACTACTGATTCTGCTGAAGTCAAGCAAAAATAGCCACATTGCTGTTTGTGATGAGAAAGGAGATGAGAAGGACAAACCATACTAATGTTTGGATACACTTGTTAATGTGTGTAGTCAGCTTCTGGTCTGACATTGGCTCTTGGTTTATTGCCAAGGTTTATGCAGTTATAACAGTGGCAATATCCTAGGCCCTTGTAAACAATTAAGATAAGCTTAGTTTCGTTTGTTGTGGGTGTGTATGTTGGTGACTGATGGGGATTATGAAATTCTTTGTGTTTCTTTTGGGTTTTGTTTTTTGAATTGTGAGGTTGGGTTAAGTATCCTTGAACTAATCCAGGAAGGTATAAAAAAGGTAGTTTTTATTATAGATTATTGCTAGCCTAATTTTGCTATCAAGTTAGCTGTATGTTAGTGTTGTGTGGCTGACAGAAGGCTTTGGAGAACTCAGTTTAATTTATACCAGTGAAATTATGCTCTTGATTCTAGGGATTAATTTTCTGTGGAGAACGTCTGAGTATTAGGTGAAATACTTTGTAGACTAAAAGTCTACAGCTTTGCTGGCATAGGCTGGATTTGTGGTAGGAATATTCTGCTAGTGTGATATACTTCTATGCCTTGAGTGATTAATTATCGTCTGTGTTGGCCAGTTCAGAGTTTTGGTCGTCCCTGTTTGTGCATTCAAACTGCTGCACTGAAATGTGTTACTCCTCTGGCTGGGTTTTGTTTGCTTGTATAAGTAATGTTGGGAGCCCCTGTTACTGCTGCTGCTGTGCTCATTTTGCTGATCTCCCTGCACCAGGCATTCTCTTACTACTCTCTGAGCAGTCAGGTTACTTGTGCAATATGTCTGAGATGGGCATTGAGCTTGATGTCTCATCTCTAATACCCTAATTGTCAGTATTCCCGTTTTTAATCAAAAAATAAAGAAGGGGAGGGGGGGGAAACCCTTAGAAATATGAATGAGTAAGGATTTGAGCCCTATGCATGGCAAGAAATTGATCTCTCTTTGATAGTTGCTGACACTAGCTACATTAGAGTTGGGGCAAAAAATGGCTGTTGTTCCTCTTGCAGTAACTGTTTATTTCAGTTGTGCTGTTTGTTTGTAAAGTAGTTAAAATAATTGTCCTTAGAGTAGCGCCCGATTATTTTTTGACACTGATTCATGGCACCTGTTGCTGAAAGTATGTGACAGTAGCGAGTCAGTTCTGTGTTGATGGGTACTCATTTCATTTTAGTGCCGTAATCATAGGACAATATTCATCAAGTTTTAATGATATTATTTTCTGCATGCCTTCTTGGCTTACTAAAACTTCGACAGATTGAGACTTCTGGTGTCTGAAATACTACCCTAGTCTCTAATGGCTTCTGGTAACTCTCCAGGGCTAACAAAATAGTGGTCTGCCCTTTGTAGTGCATATCTAACATAATTAGATACTTCGGTTGCATATTATCATTGATCTTTGCTAGAGAATTCTCTTTTTGGTTTGGTTTTGTGGGGGATTTTTAGGTAGAAGTATGTATACATCCAGCATGTATTTTTCTGTGTTCTAACTTGCCCCTGTCTCCACAGGAATTGCTGTAATTATATAGAGAACTTGAATTACAATGGGGGACGACAGTGAATGGATGAAACTGCCCATTGATCAGAAATGTGAACACAAGGTAGGAGATCTTGTCCTTGACTTGCTGTGTATCTCTGCTTGTGGGGTGATTCTGTAGGACTTCTCTATCTAAATGCACCGTAGTTAGGTAATCTTGACAGTTGCCCAGCATGCACATAACAGATCTCAAACTGCATCAGCTCTATCCAGCCTAGAGGATGAATAACCTTTAAGCAGATTTTAGTAGCATAATAATGTGTTTGGCGTAAGCTTGTGCGCTGAAAGATCAGTACACTTATTCATGTGGAGAAATTACTCATCCATAGCTGAAACTATTGTTGAGCTCCCACTTCCTCATCAGGGGTTGTTAGAACTTAGGAAGAGCAGTGGGGAAGGCTGACATCTCTGTCTAGATCATTCTTGGCTGGAGAAAACCATGTATTTTGTCCTGTTTCACGTTATTCATGTAGATATTGAAGAGAAATCTGCAGATTCCAGCTTACAGAGCACACTTTCAAGTATGAATGAAGAACTGTGAGATCTATGGGTTAAGACTGTACCAGCACAATATTTAAATGTCCAATTTCTGCTTGCAGCTGTGGAAAGCCAGATTAAATGGTTATGAAGAAGCCCTTAAGCTCTTCCAGAAGATAGATGATGAAAAGAGTCCTGAATGGTCCAAGTATCTTGGATTGATAAAGAAATTTGTGACAGACTCCAATGCAGTGGCTCAGCTGAAAGGACTGGAAGCAGCACTTGCTTATGTTGAAAATGCTCATGTAGCTGGGAAGTAAGTAGCCTTTTTTTTTTTTTTTTTTTTTGCTGCTGTTAGAACACTTTAGTATGCGTCTCTGAGAAAGGCCGCACAAAATTGTGCAGTGATCCCTACAATTCTGATCTTTACTGCTGCAAGCAGAACTTGCTTTCTAATCCAGAGAATTTGCTGAATGGCAAGCCTTTCTTGTAGATGGCCTCCATGTGCATATCAGCTTGTTTCAAAGTTGCTTACAATGTTTGAAGAAACTATTAAAGACAGTAGTAAAGACTTCTGAAATGGTCAAGAAAGTGAATAATGTGGTGGTGTAGGTGCTGTGAACTGGAATCCCTCTTCTTGTTTGACTCCAACAGTCTATCTGTACAGGGAACCTTTGTTTTTCTAGAGAGAGACTTGTTTAATTCATCTGTGAAGTGAAATACAGTTATGTTTATGAGATGTTGCATCCAACCTAACCAATATGAATCCTCATACCTGCCAATTTCTTCACTGGATGTTTTTTACTAGTTCTCTGTTGTCTAGCCCATGAAATAGCCTGTATTCCTGAGGGTGGAATAAAAGCATGTAGCTGACCAGTCTAGTGCTTTAGTACCCTGACTTTGTGACTTGATGAAATGAATATAGAAGTGTGATTTTAAAACCAAATAAGCATAAAGCTTTGTTTAAAACCCTAGCAACTTTGCAACTCCTTGATTTAAAATTGATGTAAATGATTTAGGTGACCTAAAGCTTGGGAAATAAATTCTGTGCTAGGAGTGTGTAGTGATTCAGTTTGTTAGTTAACTGTAATATGCAATGCCAGGACATGGCACTTATTTGTGAACCTTGTTATTAAGTGTATGTCAATGCACTTTTGAGACTGTCTGCTGTTCACTCATATAGTTCAGTATTAGGATCATGTTCACCATGGTCTGCAGGAATTCCTTGGAATAAACTAGAGGTTGAAGTCATCTCTCAGGAAAGGTTATTGCTTTCAAAGTTAACTCAGATACAGTCCCTTTCATATGAGGACTTGCTGGCGTTTTATCTGGTTTTGGTGTTGTGGCTTTTTTTTTCTGTGGATAATGATGTAGAATATCTAAATCACATAAATGTTCCAAAAGTAATGTTCTCTCATCTTTCAGGACAACAGGAGAAGTAGCATCTGGAGTTGTAAATAAAGTGTTCAATCAGCCAAAGGCCAGAGCAAAAGAGCTGGGTCTAGATATATGTCTAATGTATATAGAAATCGAGAAAGGAGAGGCAATACAAGAAGAATTATTAAAGGGTCTGGACAACAAAAACCCAAAAATCATAGTAGCATGTATAGAGACACTGAGGAAAGCACTAAGGTAAGCTTTTGGTTCATGGGTTTTTCTTGTGGGTGCTTTTTCATCCTTTTTTCTTCACCCCAGCAATATGTGAAGATTAATTTGTTGCTTTAGTCTTTAGCAAGCCCTTGTTACTGTTGAATAGTATGTATCTTTCCTGAACTGATATTGACAGCAACAGTTGAGTCATGGGATTTGTTGGATGTGAGGATTGTCTTTGTTTTACAAGCCTCATGTGTATCTCTGATTCATGGCAACTGTTTGCCAAACTTCCATTTTGCACAAGGGGCCTCTGAAAGAGGGGCAGGACTAGTGTGCCTTGTTTCAGACTGTGGAGCTTGTCTTCTGCATAGCTGAAATAAACTCACTGATAAGAAAACTAAAATGTAGTTTGTTTCTTTCAAAAATCCCATTGTTTTCCTCCTCTTTACTTGGGTACAGTGTGTGTTTTTTAGGAGAAAGGATAAAAAAGAAACAAGTTCATTGCACAGTAAGTTTCCATTGCTGGTAATGCATCCCAAAAATCAAATCCAGTTTAAGATGAGTTAGTAGGTTTCAGTATTAGATTTTTTTGTTGTTGTTGTTTCACATCAAGGTGTATTTGCTGCCTTTGAGTGAAAAATACTGGAGCTTTATAAAGTTCTTGCACTTGGTGTGTGTATATAATTCACTGTCCATTAGGTATTTATTAAAGGAAACTTTGGAATTAATGGATAGAACACTTCTTTCTGAGTAAAGTAGTTTGTGTGAAAACTGTATAATATAGAGAGTGTCTTATGCTATGTATCTTGGAGAACTTGCTGAGGCATATATATGTATAGATGGTCCTTGTTAAACTAATTGTTTGAGGCTTCTGTAATAGAAGTCAAAGCACTGGGCTTAGCACATTACCTGTGCTTCTGCTAAGTGAAAATACTGTCTCATACTTAACAATATGTTTTAGCTGTTTTAAATTGCCTTATTTAGTCAAATGTCCTTTTAACAGTACAGTGTAATTAGAAACCTGCATAACCTTCCTAAGTATCTTTCAACTAACCACTCCTATAAAATGCCTCATCTGCTTTTGTGCTTAGGTGCAGTATTTAATTATCTTTGCAATGTTAAGATCAAATTCTTTCGTGGAGCCCTCTTGACTTAACCTTCATCTTCTGTTTCTGAACTGTGTTGCTACCTAAATTGGTCTTGTACTTTGTTATCAATACAGGAATACTGTCAAAGTTTGTCTATGTTGTACCTAGGTGTGTAGCCTGAATGCATAAGTAGTTTAGCTTCTGGTGTTTTCTACCTTCTGCTAAACTTTTTGTTCTTTCTTTTGTTAGATAAATTAGATTGTTATGCAAATTAGATAAGAATAAGAGAATTTGCACTGGCACTTTTCCTAACATGCTCTCTTTTTAAGTCATGGTAGAAAAGTAAAAATGATGGGTAACTCATTTGTTCATGTTCTACATTCAAATTGTGTTGCTTTTGAGACTTCTTTTGAAGGTTTCAATACTTAGTATTTTTCAGAGTGATTATGGCAATAAAATTATGTGCACTGGAATTTTTAGCCAGTGAGATGTAAATTTTAGTTCTTCAGCAGCCATTTTTGTTAGCTTTTTCATGCAGAACTTAGTTGGAGGGAAGCAGAAGAAAGTGTGATTGGAAAGGTCAATTCAGAATTCTGAAGGGAGAAGAAATGCTTCTGAATCAAAACAATGTATTGCTTCTGAGGTGATTTATGTATGATGCCTTAATAACTATACCAGTTAATTTTACTATCACTCTGAGAATACAGTTCTTGTGTTCTCATTTCTCAGTGATTGAAAAAGGAAGTTTTGTGTACTGAGTTCAACAACATGTAGAATCTGTTGACAAGGAAGGGTGACTGGCTGGGGAATCTTGTTTTGTGTCATTGCAGAAGCACATATTTCCACACACATGTTTTCTGTGAAGATGACCCAAGCTCACTATAATTATCTGGTCCAACAAGTGGATAAGTGACTAATGCTTTTACTGCAGTTTGCTTCCAAGGATAGACAAAGGAGATTCTATTCTGATTTTAAAAAAAAAAAAAAGAAAAAAGTAGGTCATAGAAATTTCTAAGGACAATTTTTTCTTTTTTCTTTTCCCCCCCTGGCAAGGGAACAAATTTAAGCACCAGACTGGATTCAGTGCTTTGAAGTAATCTTAAAGGCCTGATTTTGTAATTGCAAGATGGGTGTGGAGGGTGATTTTGATAGGGCAAATAAGCTTTAAATTTTACATTAGCTTAGTAGCTTCACAGAATAATAGCTGTAATAATGGTTTGAGTAAACAACACGATCCCTAAATGTGTGTTGGAAAAGTTTCATAGATTGTTCGAAAATAATGAATTATTTGTGGATCACTCCTTGGTTCCTACTTGGACACTGATGCTATTCCATGTTCTTAACTTTCAGTGAATTTGGTTCAAAAATAATCTTACTGAAGCCAATCATTAAAGTATTGCCAAAACTTTTTGAATCTCGGGAAAAGGCTGTTCGAGATGAAGCCAAACTCCTTGCTGTGGAGATCTACCGTTGGATAAGGGATGCTTTGAGACCTCCATTGCAGAACATAAATTCTGTTCAGGTAGGCAGAAAGTAGTTCTGTATCCAAACATGTGCAAAAATACTTCACTGCTCACTTTCCCTGATCCTGTGGTGTTGGACATTCTTAAAGTCAAAGCTGGATTTTTTTTTCTATAACAACTTCCTTTAACTTCCCAAAAACATTAGTCTCCCTTTGAAATTTCGAACTAAATTATAACATTTTTTCTGAATATATGTGAATTTGTCACACTGAAAATGAAGAGGGGGATTGAGTAGTAGAATGGTATTTCTTGATGATCTGACCTAAAGGGAAATGGTTGCCCTTATACAAGACCCTTGCACTGAAAGTCTTCAAGTTGACCGTTTTCCTTCTCAGTTTTGTTTTCCTCCATACCTCCCTTCATGCATGTTCTGATGGCGCTCAGGATGTGACTGTTCCACTTTAGGAGGTGGCATTGCATTATGATGGATAGAACATCGCAATATTTTAAAAATTTATAAGTTGTTTATGCATCCCTCTATCCTACCCACTTGAGTTAATTGTGTTCAGGTGGAAAGCAGTAGCTTCCTGGAAAAAGGCATGGTTTAAAAAAACCTAAGCTGTCTCATCAAATGCAGCTCAGCATGTTTGCTTCGTTTTTGTTTTACTGTCTAGTAATAGCATGGCTGCAACAGACCTTCCTTTATGCTCAGCCATTTTTCAGAGCCTCTACAGAGGAGCCACATCATTTTGACTGTTCTACAGTTTGTTCTTTGTAAATGCTTTGCATTGATACTATTCTGTTCCTCGGATATACTTAGTCCAAAACTTCTGAACAATGAATGTGAAGGGCAAGTCAGTGCCTTTAGTGGCAGAAAAAAGAACTTGAAAGGTAGTGCTATCTTGGCTTTGAAGTGAAACACTAACACATTGCTTCTCTTAAGGTATGTGCATAATGTCTCTGATACGATGATTCTTTCCCCTTTTGGCAGCTGAAAGAGCTGGAAGAAGAGTGGATCAAAGTGTCATCAGCTCCACCTAAGCAGACTAGGTTTCTGCGTTCCCAACAGGAGCTCAAGGCAAAATTTGAGCAGCAGCAAGCCATTGGAGGAGATGCAGATGGAGGTAAACTGTTTTGTGTCTGAACTCCCTTGGAAAGTGTGTTACTGGTATCTAATTTGTGAAGAAATGCATTAAATTGTAAAGGGACTTTTACTGAAGCTGGTACAAAACCTGTGGGATGCAGTACTCAACCAGGAAACGTGTCTGGGGCAGAAACTTCGTATGAAAGATCTGTCATTTGGAACAGAAAAATCACAACCGCTGATTGATCTTGCTAAACAAGGAGCCTTAGGTGGTGCTCTAGTAAATTTTTCACTCTGCTTATGTTTTTTTCCTCTCTCCTGGTTGCAGGCGGTGATGATGAGGAAGAGGCAGTACCACAAGTAGATGCATATGAGTTGCTTGAAGCTGTAGAAATTCTTTCCAAGCTTCCCAAAGACTTCTATGAGAAAATAGTAAGCATAAACTTATACTACGTATGAATTCTAAGATGTTTGGAGCTGATGAGTCTTAAAACATATGAGCCTTCTTCAATGTATGTTTTTGTGCTGCATGGCTAATAACAAACTAGTATGAACAAAATATAGGCTATCATAAATAAGCCTCAACGTTCAATTTATCAGCAAGAAGGCTGCTAAATCAAATGGACAAGGAGCTGAGGTATGTCCCAGGAAAGGACTGCATCTCATGTTTCATTGCAATAACTGATGTTGAACTGGAGGGAGACCTTGGTGTTCTCAGGATGGAATTAAGGTTTTTACTCTATGGCTTGTGGCAAGTATGCTTCTCTAGAACTACTTGCATTTATGAATTGTTGTAAATTGTTTGCAGGAAGCAAAAAAGTGGCAAGAAAGAAAAGAAGCTCTAGAGGCTGTTGAAGTGCTTGTGAAAAATCCCAAGCTGGAATCAGGGGACTATGCAGACTTGGTTAAAGTTCTCAAAAAGGTAATAAATGCAACCCAGAATGCACATGTAGTTTAATATTTTTTGTAATTTATTTCAGTTGACATAAGACTCATGAGTAGAAAATTATTAGCTGGAACAGTGGTGGAAATAACCCAATCTGTGGCCTACTGACTATTCTAAGAAATTCGTCCATGTCTTTGAAACTTGGATTTTCAGTCTTTAACATTGTTTGTATGCTTTTTTTTTCTCGTCAGGTTGTCGGAAAGGATACAAATGTGATGTTAGTTGCTTTGGCTGCCAAATGCCTTGCTGGATTAGCTACTGGCCTCCGAAAAAAATTTGGACAGTATGCAGGGCATGTAAGTAAGAATATGTACTTTTTTCTGACTTTGTTGGTGCTGGACCCCTTTTTTTCTTTTTCTTCCCTCTATCAAACCATGTTGTTTATCAAAGGTTTTCTTTGTACAGTTACGAATGCTTACCTTCCCCTTAAAGGAGCGAGCATTGAAATACCTGCCGAGGTCTTTGCAGCTTAAGTTTTGAAAGGACTTTGTTTATTCATACTCAGCAACATGAAATTTTCTGTTGTAATACATCTTCTGTGCTAAGAAAACTTTAAATTACCCTGCCATGAAAAGGCCTTTATTTATGTTAACTCATCCTAGAGACACACCATGGAGCTGCTAAGCAGAATGCAGATTCAGAAACTATTTTTTCTACTGTGGCCTACAAATACACTTCTGTGGGTGTATGTTTTATATTGATTGGGTTTTTTCAATGTCGGGGGAGGGGAGGTGGTGGGTGTTTTGTTTCTATTGTCTGTGTTTTGTGGAGGGTTTTTGTCTCCTTTAAATAGCCAGAACTTCTGAGATTTTTTTGGTACCAAAATGTTCTGGTAAGCTAGCTCTTTGTTCTGCTTTGCTACTCTTTTCTTACCAACAGCTCATATTGGGGAATAATGGGAAGCTTAACCAGTCTCTGGCAACAAAGGGAGTTTTTAATAAGTTGCAGTTCTGACTTGTTTCTCAAGCCTCTGTTGCTATGTTCTTTAAGCTGCTCAATGAAATTTTTCCTGTGATAAGCAAGAGTGATGGGCTTAGAGCTTAGACACAGAGAACTGATGTGCCTGGATGCCAGTATTAGTGCTATATTTGAATTGGAAAGTTACTGAATCTCACTGCTTCAGAAACATTGAAGTCTCCTGAACTCTGAGCAACAGTTTGGACAATCTCCTGCCTTCTGAAAGCTGTCTGTAGTTTTAAGAAGCATTTTTCCATCTGTTTACACTTGATTTCTAAGGGCTAAGCCTCATAGCTAGAGAGTTGTTATTGAAAAAGCCAAGATTCTAAAATAAGGGTGTAGCTCTGTCGTTGCCAAGCAAATGGAATTGAGAAGATTACTTTTCAGTACTGTAATGGCAGCTATGAATTGCATAATCTCAGTACACATTTTACCAGTTCACTTGATTTGTTTGCTGCATTTGTTTACTTGGGAGAAAGATGTAGACTTCTCCTGAGAGTGGGCATTGAAGTGTTGGAAAACAGAACTATTCTTACAATTGTGGGATGATTATAAACTCTCTTAAATGTAGGGCTGTAATGTTGCAGTCTGCAGTCTTATGTTAAAACAAGGGTGATGAAACAGCACACAGAACCACACCACTCACTGTAACTGAGTGCACGTGGCCCAGCTTCGCCTCTGGCTGCGTTTGTAGGCCTGGACTGACTTTGCTTCCTTCCCTCCCTGTCACATGGGATATGACTTCTAACTTCCAGGTTTAAAAATACTAATTCTGCTGTCAGCATGTTTTAAAACAGAGGCTTAGGGATTTTAAATATCTCCTCCTTATGACTTTGTTCTCTGTAGGGTTTAGGGGTGTCTAGCACCTGCACTAACACATATGAGGGTCTTTATGGTGCCATCTGTATTAACTGAAGTTTTGTGAATGCCAAAGTCTATGAACAGAGTTTGGAAGTTGCAGCCCAGGAAAGGATACCAACTGAGCATAGGTCACTGTGTGTCACAAGGGGTTGGGATCCCACAGCTTTCAAGTAGAAAGCAAATCTGGTTTTTATTATGCAAGAGCTTGTAACTTCTGTTAAGCTTCTGACTGTTTCCAGACTATGAACTGTTATGTTTATACGCATCTTGAAAATAGCCTGGTTTCCACAATTAAGACCTGCATGTTTCTGGCCCACTGACAGAAGTTCTTACTGTTACATACTTCAGTGGACCTGCTCATGTTACTAGCAAATGAGAGTGTCTGCTGATTTTTTTTTTTATTTTTTTTTTTCCTCCTCTCAAATATTTATTATTCAACAGTAATTGAGCACCTGGATTAGGTAGAAATTGCTGTCAGATTCCAGCATGGCATAGTTTAGTGTCAGGTGTGGTTGTTTTCAAAATGGTAGAGCTGCTGCAGAGAAGATTCTAGTTGCTTTAGAATCATGGTCTTGTCAGCTGTGGGTCAGATGAGGACTTTTTAATGGACCATGC